CCTATCTTTTTAAGTGTAAATCTTGTGCACTGCCTCTGTTAATTGGCTTAAACACCTACTTTTCTTCCTCAGCCCTGTAGCATTTCTCCTTGGTTATAACTAGTACGCTGACTGCAGCAGACACCTTTTTCTTCCTCTTTTAAGAAGGCAGAAACTGTCTGCTTTCATTTTGAAATATCTAAGGTATTCCTTCACTGTGTCCTTCATGTGCCTTCTCCATTGGAATTTACCTCCCTGTCAGAAGGAGACTAGTCTGTCACTAGGTTTACTCTTAAAGGCTGCATTCATTAACTTTCCTCACATGTTTGTAATGTTTGTTATCCATGAGTACTTCATTTAATTAGGCTATTGTGGGGAAAGCTGCAAGTACTACTATTTCAAAGTAACAGCATGTAGTAATGATCTCTCAACCAGACATTGGATGGGAACCAACACAACTCAGACACTGGATCTCTCCAGTGTGATTCCTGGGAAAGTAATGGAGTCAGCAATGGGCGCTGCAGCTTGATTGTGCAGGCCTGTGTTTCTTTTTTCTTATTCAGCAGCCAATAAAGACACCGAATAAAGATCTGTTCCACATTGCAGAGAGAATTGAGGATATTGTATCCTTTCTGTCAATAGGAAGGAGCAGAAATAAGCATCTCTGTCTAATCTCCAGAAGGGAGCAAAGAGGTTAGTTCTGAGTAACAAAGATGATTCAAAGCAACGCATTTTTCTCTTTGTAGAGGGTGGTACAAGATGTGAGAAACCTCACAGCTAATGCTATAATTAAAAAATATGATTAATGGCTTTGAGAATAGCATTTGAGAAGTCTTGTTGAGTATCATGGCAAAATCACATTGCCTGGCATATGAACAAGGAGAATATGGGGTACTTGATGCCAGGAAAAACTCATAGGGTACTGATATCTCTGCTAAAGACCTATTGAAAAATATGTATCGTGGGAGTACTGATTTTCAGTGGAAATGAATAACTGCTAGATTACATACAGCATATGGATTTACATTTGGATGACTGATTTTATGTCTGGGATAATTCTTGGTTCGTTAGCATTTCATCAGCTTTTGTAAGGCATTTATAAAAAACGTGTTTGCAGTCTTGCAAAAGAATAAATAAAGTTGCAGGACTTCAAGGTAGTGGTGCTACTAAGATTGATGCCAACTATATATGGAAGTTTAAAAGACCTGTGTTGATCAAGGTTAATCTGAATATTTAATAATAGTTCATTATAATTGGCAGTTACTTCAAGGTCTAATGCAGTATTCTTGTGAATTAAAGTGCTATTAGCAGAATTTGGAATTGAGCATATACCAAATGTGTGAGACAAGTATTAGATAACAATAACTTCATTTTAATGTAACATCCAAAAACAGTGGGAAGAGTATAAATTTTACAAGATTAAGTGAAACTCTCAAATGAGTGAAGTTGTCAGTTGTAAAGAATTTTTGGCTACCTCGTCTATATTTCATTCACCACTTAGCAGTTAATGTAGCCTAAAATAATTCGTTTATACTTTTACCTGGCAAAAGAAAGGAGGAGCAATTGGAAATTCACATTAAATGTTTCCAGTTATGTCTTGTTAAATTTTATGTAGCAACACTTTAAATAAAAAGTGATAGTTTAAGGATCACTATTTATCAAGATTTATGTGGTAAGCCAGCAAATTCTTTAAACTAATCCTAATAATCAGTTAAAGTATAAGAACAAGAAAGTGAAAACTGAAATTGTCCCATTATTTCCAGGTAATATTTTCTCTTACCTGTCACTAAACATAAGGAAATGCGACAAAAATAAGACATTATGTAAATATCCAGAGGATTAGGCGTTGGCAGATCACTGGTCAAGTAACTGCCATCAGTGTCATGTGACTCACATGTTGTTTTCACAGACCATAGAGTACAAGCTTTTTGGGGAAGCCTGGGTCCTTACACATTCATTGCATTCTGTAAAGGATGGAATGGACTGCATGAAGCACATATTCCTATGGATCTGTTGATAACATGTTGACAATATGCTCATTAACAGTATTTGTCTTTTCAGCATAAAGCAGATCGTAGTGAATATACGTAGTATGTAATATTTGGGAATTTGTAAGTTGTCTGATTTTCTATCTTTACAACCATGATCCTCGTTTTTTGCTCTATTCAGTAGTGCACAGTGGGAAAGAACCACTATTTCCTCTGCAAAAACATACATTCCTGTGATGATGAGCAACAGAAGCAGACATGTTGTGTATTTGAAAGCCAGGTTCAGTTACTCAAGAAAAGAAATTTAAAAAAGGAGCAACTGGAAGGACAGATGTCACTAATGTTTTGCCTGGAAAAGATGGTGTGGCCAGTCTGAGTTGCCATATTAGGATTGCTACAGAGGAAAGACTGTGTTTGTTACTGGTTTTGTACTGCTCTCTGTTGCTCCTGTAAGGAAGCAAGGCAAGGTATTAGTAAGTGATAGGAGACCATGGAAAAGTGCTGATGGCAATCCTGCTGGTACTGAGCTCATGTTTCAGAAATTCGAACACCGTGAAAATAGGATTAAACTCATTTTCAAGTCACAGTTGGTAGTTTTCTACATGAAAAATTTTTTGGAGGAATTCTGAGAAGATGCAAGGCTCTTGGGAATCTTCCTCAAGGGATAATGTATGTACACAGTGGGGAATTTGAGTGTTTTTTAATATGATACTCTTTTCTCTTAGAGCCTGAAATGAACTAGAGCTTGCAGAGGCCCCATTCATAACCTGATGTCCTAAACTCAAAGGCCATTCTTCATCTCCAAGGTCTACTTTGCCTTATTAGTGTTTATCTTTGCTGGGGAAATGAACTATTGTTGATTATACTAAATTTCATATGTTGGCTACAGATGGGCCTTGCTGCAACAGACTGTAAGAACAATCTGAGGTGGTGTTGATACTCTCATGTGGAGCACCAAATTTCTGTTTGTTGTTTTTATATTATAAGAAATCAGAAATGGCAAATGGTAGCAAGTCTTGCTTTAGACTGTTCTGCTAACTTCTGCGCATTTCCAGTTCTCTGTTATTTAGGTTAGGGATACAACTCAGCAAATTATCAGAATTATTATAAATATATAGCCCTTAATTCTGTGGGGTCATGGTAACATAACCACTCAAGGGAGAAGTTCTTTGTTGTCAACTTTGTTGCTATGTGATAAATACCTTAGGAATACTGATTTGTAATTGATGTCATGTTGCTCTATATATGTAGCTTATTTAGACTTGATTAATGCCCATAAAGTCAATGGGAAATCTACCAAATTCAGTCAAGACTTTAAATAGGAACTGCAAACACAAACTGACTTAGAACATCCAATGATTGTGGAGTGAGTGATAACCAGTTGGTTTATGTGTGATCTGATGGTGTTAACCTTCATATCTGGAAGACATCATGGACTACAGTAATTTGACAAAATTGTGACAAATTTTGAAGAGAGCACTAGTAACAGAGAGTTGTGCTTTCCTCTCTCACAGCTTAAAAATGGAACCAAAGACCAAAGGACTAAAACATCAACAGCAACAACATAAGAAACTGCTGGCTGCCATGCTTTCTCAGGACTCCTTTGATTCTGCTCAAAGCACAGCTCCATCTGTAACCGAAGAAGATATTGACAATGAAGATGATGCAATGGAACTACTGGGTAACTGCAAAAAATTATGTGTATTTTCTGATTTTTTTATTGTAAGTGTAATACACAATCAGACATAGATTAGTGTCTCTATAATCTCTCTATAGTCTTTCTATTGAAACTGCTCTCTATATTTAAAGCTGAAGTATCTAGCAGCTGTGTGAAGGTTCATAACTTTTAGCTTAAAACTTTCAGGAGAAATGTAATGAAGACAATAAATATATGTCAATAAACTGCCAACTGCATCAAAATCCCATGAAATGTCAAAAGCTTCAGGTGCTTAAAGTAATTAATTTGGTTTCCTGCAATTGCAGGTTCTGCATGTATTTATGTAGAAAGAACAGAATTGGCTTCACTGTGTTTTATCTGGGTCTTCTTTTTCTTAACTGTATTGAAGTTTTAACCTCAGTGGATTTTATTCGAGACTAACGAGCTACAAATAGCTTATGCAATGTGAATTTGTAACCTCTTCAGAGGATCTGATTGTAAATTTCCACTACACTGTATTGTATCTTAAATTGTACTGTAGAAGGCTTGATGCTCACTGCTTCATCCCTTTCCTGGAAGCACTAGTTCTGAAAGGAGGGACATTGTTGAAGAAAATGAATTAATAGTCTCTTTTCTACCATTTTTCAATCTTTCAGTGTAAGATGCTTAAAAAGTAGTCATGAATTTAAGTATTTTTTTCCCAGCTTTTGCTATATGGAACTCTATGTGGGATCACAGCATGGGAAATCTGTAACTTCTGAATAGGGCAGCATTCTTATGTTTACAAATTCTGGAAAAAATATTTTTTTTCAGGTTGGACTTTAATCTAAAAATCAAGAAAACACATGGTACTCTTTTTTTCTGTATATATTTCTGTTGCTTCCTTACTATAGTTTTTATAGAACCACAGAATAGTTGAGATTGGAGAGGAGTGCTGGAGATACCTAGCTCAACCTGTTGCTCAAAAAAATCAACTATAGCAGGTTGTTGTAAATGGATTTTGACCATATCTAGAGGTGGAGATTCTACAGCATCTCTTCCTGTTCCAGTGCTTGACTGTGCTCATCGTAAAAAAGTTTTTATTCTACTTAATTAATTGTGAATTAATACATAAATTACATAAATTAATACCTTTTCTTTTTTAGTAGTTTAAAGTTTGATACATGCATTTGTTTTACAAGAAAGAAGAAATAATGGGCTGGATCACTCAGATGTCACAGTGGGTCAATTAGTTCTTTGTGTTTGAAAAGTCACAGTGTTTGTGACTGTGGGCTTGCAGTGTTCATAGAATCTGTTGGTATTTCCAGAATTAATCCATGGATTTCAGTGAAGGCCATAATTAGTCTCTAGCTGCGTTACCTCCTTATTTCCTTCTTCAATTTACAGATCTTTCTGACTTTATCAATGTAACGTAAAAAGAAAGGTGAAAGGGTGTCTTGTGCTGGTGAAAACCACAGGACTCCTCTAGGATTCTGTGGCATGTGGAAGGTACAGTAGGTGAGTGTGTGTGTGTGTTCTGTTATTTGCCTCATTATTTGCCACATACAGGATAGAATCTTTTGTTAACTTTTGTGGAGATAGTGAGAAAAATGTATCCAATAGATAACATTATATAGATATAGGCCTTTCCTTCCAGACACTTGAATCCCTGAAGGTATCTGGAACCAGAAAGCAGTATAAAGGAATGAGGAGTAGGTGTGCTTATAGTGGTTATAGTATGGCCATATTATCGTAAATAGCACTGATAGAAAGTTCAATATACACATCTTGGTGTTGAAAATGCTGTGCCTCTGAAAAACTGGCTTGTGTTTTAATTCTCATTTCGCAATTTGTTGACACTATATGTGTTAGGTTTGATATAATGGGTAGGCTAACATCCTTCAGAACTGCTCAAAATTGAGGATATGACAGTGTTACATGGGAAAGGTATTTTATTTTCTTTTGAAGGTAACATGAAGAACTTCAGTTTCTATTAGCAAACAGGTATTTTTCATTGCCTTATTTTCCAGGTCAGTAACTGTTTGATACTGAAATTGAATTTTTTTTATAATGTACCACATTAATCTATTAACTGCTTGATACTTTTTATACTGTTTATACGCAGTATAACTAATTTCAAATCATGGTGTTTTGCCATCACCGAATTGTTGCATATAGCTCTTTGATTTGTTCCCTTTAGAGTTCAGTGTTTGTTTATTCAGCCTTTTCTTAAAAATTTACGTCGTGCTCCTAAGTCAAGATTCTGGGAAAAAAAATCTATTTACAGCAGATTATTTAAAGCGTACACTACCTATAATGCAGGTTTTTGCAGAACACAAACTTCCATCTTAATCTGTGTTCAAGAGAACCTTTTTCAGAGGTTGGTTGATTTATTTAGATATTAAAAGAATGAGGCTAACTGTTGGCATAGTTTCTTTTAAAAAACCCATCTCCTAGGACTGCCATCAGAATTGTTAATGAAGGTTTTAGCTACAGTGAAACATTCCAAATAGAAGAAACAATTACACTGTTAACCACTTCAAAAGCAATATATGTGCAAAGATGAAAAAGAATGTTATGGGGCTACATTCTGATTTCAGTTATCACTCTTTATGTGTAAAATAAGATATATAGGAGGACCATTCACATACTGGCATCTTTCTAAGTATGTTTAGTCAAGCAGGTGGCTGAAATAGATTACTGACAGATAACATCATAGTGGAAAGGATCTTCCTGACTTTAAAAAGCTGAGAATTGTAACTATAAAATCACATGTGTTTGTAAATTTAAAAGGGTAATGCAATTGAGGTCCGTGACTGAAGATTATATCAAGGGGCTCATTTCATGCACATCATAATACCAAGTATTGTGTTTTGGAAATCTAATCAGGAGCTGAAGCAATTCCTTATGAAACTCTGCGGCCCTTTTGAAATTGTATGACATTTGGGCTTAAACTGTCTTTCACATTTGATGAAAGTCCACTGAGACTTTGAAATCATTTTATACCCTCAGTATCTCACCGATGTCCACTGAACTTTTATTTTCCCTGAAATTGCTGTGAATATTGATTGTACCAAAGCATGACTCATATGGTTTTAAAAAATCAGTTGTTTTTTTAAGTGTAAGTATATAATTGTTTAAGTGTACTGCTATGCATAAACATACACACGGTAAAGTATAAGGTTTTTTGTAGCACACTTCGACTTAGATATACATTCTTGAGGTTTTTACAAGTAAGGAAGATGAAAAAGACATTCTGTATTGTTTAACACAATATTGATACAGAGAACAAATCCTGTGAGGAGCATCTGATGGAACTGGGGTTGTTTAGCCTGGAGAAAAGGAGGCTCAGAGGGAAACCTGTACAACTCCTAGAAAGGGAACTGTAGCCACGTGAAGGTTGGTCTGTTCTCCCAGGTAACAAGCAATAGGACAAGACCTCAAGTCATGCCAGGGGAGGTTTAGATAAGATATTAGGAAAAATTGCTTCACAGAAAGGATTATCAAGTATTGGAACAGTCTGCCCAGGGAAGTGGCTGAATCACCATCCTTGGAGGTATTTTGAGGATGTGAGGTGCGACTGAGAGATGTTCGCGATGCTCGTCATACCTGAGTGGTGCCTAGTGCAGAATGTTAAACAGATCATCGCCTTGTGCGATGTAAACTTAACTTCCACCTTAAGTTCAAACCTATAAAAGGGGCAGTATTCCAAGGAGGAGACTCCAAGTTAACAATCTTCAAACAGCTACAGTGAGAGACAGCTTCCAGGTAAATCTTCAAACTAGACTTGAAGATCATTCCATAGATCCTTCTCCCGAAGCACTTTGGCAACATATTAAAAATAGCATACTGCAGTCCTCTGAAGAATCCTTAGGGTTCTCTTTCAAGAAAAACAAGGACTGGTTTGATGAAAACAATGAAGAGATCCAGGAATTGTTGGTAAAGAAGAGAACTGCCTTCCAAGCACACCTTGCTCAGCCATCCTGCTATGTAAGAAAAGCAACCTTTTGTCTTGCATGCAGTAAGCTCCAATAGAAACTTCGAGACATCCAGAACAAGTGGTGGATCAATCTAGCAGAAAAGATTCAATTATGCGCAGATTCGGGTGATTACAGAGGATTCTATGAGGCTTTGAAAGCAGTCTACAGACCTACACACCAGGTTCAAAGCCCTTTACCCAGTGCAGATGGTCAAATACTTCTCACAGATAAAATTTCTATTCTGAATCGATGGTCTGAACATTTTCAGACTCTTTTCAGTACCAACTGTGTAGTTCAAGGCTCAGCAATTCAGTACATTACATGAGAACCGGTGAAAAATGAATTGAATATTGCCCCTACTATGGGAGAAACTCTTAAGGCCATACAGCAGATGAAAACTGGCAAGGCAACTGGGGTTGATGGAATTCCACCTGAAGTCTGGAAGCATGGAGGCCAAGCACTCCATGCTAAATTTCACGAGTTCGTAGTGTGTTGTTGGGAACAAGGCGAACTACCATCAGATCTTCGTGATGCAGTCATCATCACTTTGTATAAGAAGAAAGGACATAAATCAGACTGTTCAAATTACCAGCCTACACCTCAGGAAGTCTTCCATCATCCCCACATCATCATTGGCGAATCAGAACTCAAATCAGTCCAACAGTTTAATTATCTCCTTGGACGGTAAGATTGACAAAGAGATAGACAATAGGTTAGCAAAGGCATATAGAGCTTTTGGAAAACTCCATAAAGAGTTTGGTGTAATAAACACCTGAAGAAAGCACAAAGAGTAGTGTTTACAGAGCCATTGTACTGTCTACTCTTTGATATGGATCCAAATCATGGGTCATTTACTGCCACCACTTGGAACTCTTAAAACACTTCCATCAGTGCTGCCTCCGTACAATCCTAAACATCCACTGGACTGATTATGTGACTAACGTGTCTGTTCTAGAACAGGCAGCAGTTATGAGTATTGAGGCCATGTTGCTGAGAACACAGCTGCGCTGGGCAGGGCATGTCTCCAGGATGAAGGACCACTGCCTCCCTAAGATTGTGCTCTAT